CAACCCCAACAGTGCCCCCCCCCTGCCCCCCCCCGCCCCAACCCTCTCCTCTTCCTCAAATACCAACTTTATGTTGATTTCATAATTATTGCTTTACATAGACTTCACAGGCTGGAGGATGCAGGTTTTTTTGCTATGAAGACCAAAATCTGTTTAGGCACATAACAGGTGAACCTCAGAGTAGGGCTAATATCCCAAATTGTCCAGTCACTTTGCTGCAGTACAGCCTCGGGATTATCATGTATACCAACTCAGTTAAATACCAACTTTATGTTGATTTCATAATTATTGCTTTACATAGACTTCACAGGCTGGAGGATGCAGGTTTTTTTGCTATGAAGACCAAAATCTGTTTAGGCACATAACAGGTGAACCTCAGAGTAGGGCTAATATCCCAAATTGTCCAGTCACTTTGCTGCAGTACAGCCTCGGGATTATCATGTATACCAACTCAGTTTCTAAGCTTCTCTTAGCAATACTGAGTGAAATGATGTTTGTGTGGTACAGGCATCTGCCTGTGGTGAGCCCATCAAATTGCCTTGCATGTTCCGTACTCACATAAAGTCAGTTCTTATGTCAATATTGAAGCCTAGAGGTCAGGTTTCTGGCCTACAAGGATGGAGTCTGGGCCCTACCAGGATCAGACTTTCTGAATTCAAGTATTGCATTGTTAAAGAAAATTGATGATGTATTGAAATTCTTATTCTCTTTTCCTCCCTTTCTTTTGATGTTTTTCTATGCAATAGTCAAATATTATTGGCACTGGTGAGTGAATATTTAAATTTATTATTATTTTTATTTGTTGTAGTTGCAATAAATATTTTGTTGTTACTTGTATCTCTGTTGATATATGTAGTTGGCTAAGTAAACTGAACTTGTATTTTTATGTTTGTGGTTTTTTTAATAGCTTTGTAGTCATCATTGTAATAAAAACTAAATTGTGCTTTGGAGTTAAACTGAAAAGTTTAAATAGCCTAAATACATTCTGTTATGTTCCAGAGAGAATATTCTTACTATCCCACACTAAAAGCAATGCTATGCTGAATTCTCAGGCTGCTTTCAAAATAGTCACCTATCTCCCCCATTAATAATATATGATTTTTTTTTTTTTTTCTGGTGGAATAATACTTGCCTTATCTGACTTGAAGAGCTGAAAGTCTGTAAAATGTAGTAGCTGATTTGAATTAGATGGAGATAAATCACGCTGTCCTTTTCTGGCACTGAGATAAGTTCAAAGGGACTTTACAGCCTCACACTTCACATGGCTATAAGTGTGGAAGGAAATGCAGCTATGAATTCTATTGAGTGAAAAAGTGGTCATGTTTTAAGGAAAAAAAAACTGTAGGAGATAGGAAACTTCTTAGGTTTCAAATGACAGATCACAGTTCCTGTTCAGTTCAAGAGTAGGCTTTTCAGACGCTGGATAGAAAAGGGTACAATAAACTTTTGACTCACGTTTCACAGACGTGAAACGTTTAGATACTCTTATTCTCCCCTCTGAGAGCAAAATTCATAAGGGCACTCTGTAGCTGTTCTGCCGCATGTGGAACTCGGTAGGATTCTCACACCTGTGGAAGGGAGTAATGCTTTTACCTTTCTGATAAGGTGATCAACTTTCAGCTGAACATTTCCAAACAGTTCCTGGCAGAACTCAACTGGACTTGATATGGTGCGTGGAGATAACAAGCCAAGAGCTGTGACTTTCAGCCAATTTCTCAGTTTTACTCTTTTTTTGCTTATGGGAGTGAAGTGCAGCTAGCTAAATGAATGTGCTCTCTGTGGTGCTGTTACTGGCTTGTCTTCTTTTGAAGGAAGGAAATGAGTCTAGAGGGAGGGACAATGTTCCTGTACATTTTAATTATTTACTAAAGGTAGCCATACACTGCTATTGTCCTCAAAAATTAAGAAATCACTATTTCCCTTCTGCATTGGCTCCCGGAAAATGACATAAACTAATCCACCTTCCTTCCCCACACCTTTTTCATCTTCCCAAAATCCCAAAATGAGAGAATCCTGGCAGGCCAATCATCTCAAATGACACAACCACTCCCAGAAAAAATATTAAGATTAATAAGCCCCACCCCTCATCTAACATAACCTCAAGCTCCAAAGCCCCTCTGGACCATGATAGACTTCCTCTGTGAACTACATAACATAAACCACTTCAGGACCACCATAGGTGTCACCAGCCAGTGCACCAGTGTCCCATAGTCCCCCCAGCCATGAATGCTGAATGTCAGGGCTGCAATCAAAAGATACACAGAGCTTATCTATTTGATCTTCAATCACAACCTCACACTCAGTAACAAACATTTTCTTAAAACTATTAGAACAGCTGCAGTAGCAAAATAGCTGTATTTTAGCCAAGGCAGCTTTTCATGAAGCATCTTGAAAAGATTTTAATGTATACCCTGTCACCACCCTACTGTCGCCTCTCTCTGCAGTGTTATGAAATGATTATTAAGTTACTAGATCCTGTAATTCAACTAAGATCTGTCATAAAAGGTTTCCTCACAGGATTCTTTACCTTGACATAACCACTCAATCTCAGTAAGCATCATTCTTGGTGGCAAATCCCCTATGTTCCAGCACATATCCAGGTAAATGAATCCAAGTTATCTTTGGCAGAATATATAAAACACTTTCTGTTACTATGCCAGTGAATTTCCCCACCCACAACAGGACTATCAAAATCCCTGCATGTTGCTTCTTAACAAGTGATGCCTGCCATCCAGAACACCCGACTCTCTCCGTCACTGCCACTAGTCCTTCTTAGTTTCCTAAGTTTATAAATTACTTCTCTTTACCTTTTGCTTTGATGATTGCTGTCATATAGCCTTCCTTCTGACTAATGTTGTGTCTCTTTCTGCTGGTATCATCCCCATTTTCTCTAGGATGGTCCAGTGAAACTCTGAGGATTTTTTCTCAAATTTTATTTAAATTTGATTTTTCTGCTTCTGGTTTTGGGCCTGAAAAATGGTTTTTGTGACCAGAAACTTGCCTGGTTTTCCCAGTCTATCTCCTGATCTAATGGAAGATAGTGTTTACACTTCTACTTACAATGTTGGTCTTGTGTAATACTAAGCAGATTAATAGTATGCCATTGAGACATTCAATGTTTCATTTGTAGCAATATGGGATGCATTCTTCTACAGAGAATTAATCCAAAATACCATTAATTTAAACTGTTTTCAGATAGCCTGCATGGTAGAATACATTGCTATCACTGGAAAGGGTTGGCAATGTCTTAATGTCAGGGACACATCATTGCCATAGGGGAAATTTTCTGTTCAGCCTTTGCACATGGAGTATTACATTGATAATGTTTGCATTTAGTTTCTGTTATGAAATTCATCACCATGTGGAGGACTGTCCTCTGGGGTGGGAGTAATAGGACGCTGCGTGTTGCATGGAGAAATGTCCCTTCTGTTTCCATTTGTGCTGCACATGGCTCTTCCTACTGGATGCATTCACTGAAGAAGCTTTGAAAAGGCTTGTCTGTGATGATGCTTGTGTGCAGCTGTATCCTCTTTAATGGTGTGATCCATGTCCTAGGTTGTGATGTGAAAGAGTGACATTGACATTGTATGTACACAAAATAGCTTGACCCAACTGTTTTAAAAAGCATTTTTGGTTTCCCTTTAAACTGCATGCTTTTAAAATGTCTAAATCAAGAATAAAGCAATAAAATGTCCTAGCTTTATTTAGATTGCTATTTTATATTTCCTTTCTTGTGCATCTTTTAATTATAAATAAACATTTGTTTTCAGTTATGTGTTAACTGCTGATTTTGACTTTACAACAATACAGTACCTTTTAATCATATTTTGCTTTGCAGAATTCCCTTTTTAATTAGAAGAACGGTCTGCTGCTATGGTGTTGCAGTGGGAAGTGATAAAGAATGGAATTTTGCATGGGAAATGTATAACCATACCGACTCCACAAAGGAAGATAAAGAAATCCTGCTGTCTGCCATGAGCTGTGCCAAAGAATCATGGTTACTTTACAGGTGACCTTGATCAAAGTATATATTTGTGTATATAGAAGTAAATAATGAGAACACAGATACTGTACTGTGCAAACCTGGTGGAGTTTTGCCAACCCCAGGAGCATGTGTTTCACAGACCACTGGAAGAATCTTAAGAGTTTTCTCATGGAGAAAATATGATAAACAGGGAAAACACAAATGATCCTTCTGCTGGTATAACATCCCAGATGCTCATAATCACTGAGAAAGGGATTTCCTGAGCTGGTAACTAGTGTGTCATGACGAACACTGGGCCTGTCTTCTGTCAATATATCTAGAGACCTTTTTGAACTAAAATTATACCTTCAGGCTTTATAGCAGACTATGGCAACACACACCATAGTATAATTGCATGTTGTATGAGAACATGTTTATTTTAAGCCTATTTCATGTTGTTTTTTAATCTTGGAACCCATTGGCCCTTACTCTCTGCACTGTAAGAAACAGTCATTATCATCATTTGCTTTGACATTTTTCCTCACCATTTAAGATTTTATATAATTTTCCCATACTCCTTCTCCCAAGCTTATTTTGTTTCCAAACTAAAGTGTCATAGTCTATTTAGGCTCTGTGTGGAGGTCAAATCACCCAGGTTAAGGGCAAAAAAGAAAATAAACTTACTAACAAGCTGTTCACCATTTGAAGTGCAGACTCATACTGAAAAGTAATTTTTTTGAATTTCCAGCTTCATAGAATCATAGAATATCCCGAGTCGGAATAGCCATGAAGATAATTGAGTCTAACTCCTGACTCCATGTAGGGCAACCTAAATGTTAAGCTATATATCTAAGAGTGCTGTCCAAATGCCTCCTGAACACAGTTTGGAATACTGTATTTATTGTATTTCACTGGCATGCATATAAAATCTTTTCAGTTTATCAGTAAAAAGGTGTTGAAGCTGAATTCTCTAATCTGTCATGTCCACATTGCCTAAAGGATTTGTCAAAGGACAGAAACCTGCCAGTGGTGGCCTAAATAATGATCATCCAAGAACTGGCATAAGCTCAATGGGTCTAAAGCTCTGAACGTAGCAGAAATGTTTCTCCTGCCAGCCACCTGCTCTTGTGATGGTGGTCATTTAAGAAGACAGAACAAATATGCCTGAGAAGGCGGCAAGGTGGGTTGCGAAGACATGTCCAATCTGCTGTGCTGATTTTCCACCTAACTTATGGTCCTTTATTGACTTTGTCATTGGCACAGGCTAGCATTGGTCCCTGAGAAGCTCAGGAAGCTGTGATGACCTCCTTCCTCCCTGTGCCTCAGTAGTTGATAAGCCAATCTGTTTTTCTAAATGCCATCCTGAAAGTCTTTTGGGGTGTGGAATGTTAATCTGGGCTTTTCCTGGACGTCAATGTATTTTGTCCATTCTGTTAAGCAGGGTGGTGGCATGCAAATGGGAGAAACCAGCTCTTCTACTCTACCCATAAAGCAGCTACCTGCAAGACCCCATGAGAAAGTAACTCTTTAACAGTGCTCCCTGAAAGTAGGAGCATGCAAGGTGATACATTGAGGCAACGAAGAGAACAGTTACTTAGTTTTTTCAAGATACTCAGGCACTCACTGCCACAGACATCACTGGCAGGTCATTCCTTAAATACTTCTGAAATCATGCCTTAGCCCACATGAAAGCATCCAAGACCCGTTGCTATTTGGTCTTGTTATAGGGGACCCTATAAGCAGGTCCCATTTGCATAACAAAGTGTCTTGCTGCTGGCTGACTCTCTATGTTCCATCTGTGTCACGGCAAAGTGAGTCTCCAGAAACTGAGAAGCAGTTTGCCCTTCCACAGGGTTGTCTGGTAGGAGCGGTTGTCTTTCTGTAACAGGTAAGAAAAGCATATATATCCATCTGATGTGCTATACCCTCATTTCACTGAGAGGGGAAGAGTCAGTGTGCCAGAACAGGGGAATTCACCAACATAAGGACAAAACCCAAGATGAATACAAAGCTCAGAGTGACACCAACTTTGGTATAACCTTCCATGTTCTGGTATTTGCTGAGACAGGGAATTTTCCCAAACTGGATGATATTTCCAGATCATCACAGTTAAACAGCAAGTGATAGGTACAATTATTACCTTCTTTTCTAACAGATACTTGCAATATGGACTCAGCGATACATTATTTTCTTCCAATTGTACTTCAATCATCATCTTATATGTGATGACTAAGGATATTGGGCACCGTATAGCCTGGGAATTTGTTACGGAAAATTGGCCACTTTTAAGTGAAAGGTATGGTAAGCAACCAGCTTTAGGTTCCCTTTATTTCTGTGGCTTTTTGGCTTCTTCCTCCATCTTTATGTTTGAGCTGTAAAATACAGGTGCAGATTTTCCTTCCAGAGATGGCTTTTTTGTAATGATTGATGCAATTCCTTAAGTACGCAGAGCAGGGTTTTCAGAGGATTCAACTCCAATCAGGGCTTAATGCCAAAGAAGACCTCATGTCATACACAGAATACTTTAAAAATTAGTCTGTTCGTGATTGTTTTGGTGCTTTTAAGTGTTAAATTTCCTGGAAAATCTGACTCTAGAAATGGGTTTATCCCTAGCATTTCTTAAGTCTGGGTGTAAAATGCTGGAATAAGATTGTAAACTCTTCTCCAAAGAGAGTATGGAGAGGTGGGGGATTGGAGCATACAGGTTTACAGGCACTGCAAGAACCAACTGCAGTATTATTCCCTGACTTGAGTCCTAACCCATCTCCACCCAGCCTGCACAGATGCAGGTAAACTGCAGGTGAGCTTGGGCTACCTGTGTCAAGCAAAGCAAGTATTTTGATGTCTGTTCAAAGAGTCCCTCTCTTCTTGCCAATGATGAAAAGCAACAGAGCTGTGAGAGTACATTCCGGCTGCCTTTGCAGAGGAGTCCATCGGGAGCCATTAGCGGCGGCCATCTGAGAGCATTCAAATGCCTATCTGTACTGCTAATGCTATAAAACGCAGGTGGTAGCAGGTTTGTGTCACACCAACTTGTTCCCTTACAGAGCTTTTCTGTGTTCCATACTGATGAGAAATTTGCTTGGAAACTGACTCATTATTTTCAAACTAAAAGAATAGTGTGGGCGTTAATTTCTATGCCATCCTCAAGATACCAACAGAAACAACTTGTTAGAATCATTATTGGTTAGCCCAGTCTGGCTGTATGGGCTCACAAAGATTGTCTGTTTTAAGCAAAGAATTCACATTACAGAAGTAGAAATACGAGATCTTACCGGGAAATGAAAATGAAGGGTAATTCATGTGCTTCATCCTGCTCAAATGTCTGAATTGAATGTTAATTATATTTCTTTAAAATGGGAAAAAGAGTACACAATTGCAAGTTTCAGCTTAGTTGGTATTTCCAACATGGTAAATAATAAGTAAATAGTGGGAGTATTTTCAAATGAGATTAAATTTAGTATATTTGCTAACATGCTGTTTGAAGGATGTTTATCTCAATTTTACAGGTATGGGAAGGAATTATTACATGATGTGTTAAAAGTCATGGGAAGATTTGTCAACACAGATGTACAGATCCAAGAGGTAAATCAGAGAAGCAGTTTCTTTCAACTTTATTGCCTGTTTGTAAATAAAGGTTTTTTAAAGAAATCATAGAATGTAGTGTATGTTGCTGTGTTGAGACGTTGAGAAAAATGATAGTTCCTCGTCTGTGAAATAAACATATGAACATGCACCCACAGCTCTGCAGTCCGTGTATGCAGTTGGTTGTTAAGCATGGCACAAAATTCAGCTTTTGTGCAGGGATGGATGTTGTCCTGCTCTGTGTGGTTGCAGCTTAAGAGGCTGCCTGCCCATGCGCTGAACAGATGGCCTGCATGTGTGATACGGTTATTCCCTTTTGACTGTGTGGCAGCCCAGATGAGCCCATGAACAATACTTTCTAACTGGGCTGCTGTACGTCTGTAAAAAGGGAATGGGTTTGGGGAAAACTGCTGAAGGGTGGAAATCTGTGGGAGGTGGCTGTAGTCTGTTTTATTTTATTCCCCACAATAATCCATGTTAGTGCCTGGGACAAATTAGTAACTATTACTGCTTGTTTCATTCTCTTTTCCTGTTCTTTTGCCTCCAGTCCAAGTTTCCCTAGATTATTTCCCAAAATATTATTTTCTTTTCTCAGCAGCTCAGCTTCTGTGTTGTTTGCATGTGATCCACATCTCTGTGCCAGCCCTGAACTGCTAGCATCTGTCATTACAAAAAAAATTTGCTTCCCTTTTTTGCTGTTGATTGATGTGTGTGCACAGCAAGTAACTGAGAAGGGATGCTTAATGAAGAGAGCAATTCAGAGAGTTAGCTCCTAAAATCAAAGAAATCTCTCTTGAACATTCATGAACTATAAGTTTTTCACCTTCTGTTCTTAGGGAGAAGTTAACTCACTGGGATGGCAAAAGCGATAGCCCAGTGCCAGCCTTTAAATTAACCTTCAGGTTTGGAACTGAGTCCAAATAAAGATTATCAAAGATGTCTCGTTTTCCTCTTTAGAGATCTGTAGAGATCCTCTTTAGATCTGTAGAGATCACCTTTGTTATGACGTCTACAGAAAATGTACCAAAAGTTGGGCTGGTGGTATGGTAGGTTGCTGGTTGTCATGCTGACATCTGTCTTATTTTTCCTCTTGTTCATTTCCCACTCCCCTCATTATTTCTTTGCTATTCTACAGTCCTCTCTTGTCTTCTGCTCATTAGTCTAAAGATAGGAAAGACTTCTGTGATTGTAGAACAGGCAGCACAAGAGGATTCTGCTACCCAACTAGTCCTAGACACTGTGTGGTACCACCAGGACTAGTGAAGTTGGCTACATTTGAAAAGATTTTCAGAGGGATAGGAAAAGGGCACATTCTCAATGTGCAAGGAGTTTTCCCACCTTAGCATTAATCAGTAACCTTGCCCCATACCCTCCTTAGTCTCTGTCATCTCCCCCTTTTCTATGCACTTCTGTCGAAAGCATGTCAGGTACACAGTTGCTTGCTGCAAGTCATGTGAACTAAGCTTATGTGTTTATTTCTTCAGTTGCAGGTTTTTTATAATGCTACACTGGAAGAAGATGAGAGAGTGGCTGCTACTCTACTACTGGAGTTCACAAAATTTGAAAATATGGAAAGGAGAGAACTGCTAATCAAAGTTGCCAACTGGTTACAGAAAAATGTAGATGATTGACTTGGAAAACAATTTCCAGTATATTTTAGAGTGTGATTCACTAGCATTTTGGTATTCATTTTAAGATGTTATTAAAGATAAAGCACATTTTTATGAGTCCTGTGTTTGTCTTCCCAACTGGAAAGTCAGGCTAAAATAATTCACAAAGAAAAGAAAGATTCAGCAAAAGAAATGAGAGAGAGATTTTCATATTATATCTAAATTAATTTCCTACTGGATGAGTTGTTACTAGGGCTACATTGCTAATAATAATCTAACATGTAGATACAGTCCTAAATCCTTTGTTTTTTTCTGAAAATCAGAATGAAAGGTGTGGTACAAGTTTGTGGCAAAAACACTTGAGGAAGCTGGAAAAGTTTTATACTCAGTTTTGCTTATAATTTGTACTATGACCTCAGGCAAATCATTTAATCTGTCTCTCTCCACTTCTATGTTTGTAAATTGTGAAGAGGACATGTGCCATGAAACATAGACTTGAGAATGGCTTCAGAGCTGTAGGGAGGAAAAGACTGAAGAAACCTGAAATTTTAATTGTAATAAATGAATTTCTTGTCCTTCAAATTTCATTTTCCCCTAGCAGATCTGCACTTAATGTGCCTATATTCACAGTTGTGTTTGATTACGAGTGTGCTTTTGAAGACACCCTTCCAGTTGCTCCGTTTAGCATACTTCAGCTCCCAGGACAGTCTTGGGAGTGTGTGAACTGGATTCTTTTTGGGTGAAATTTATCTAGGAGATGATGAGGTCCCAGTGTGCAACTGATAGATACCACCATCTGATGGTCATTTTGTTCGTGGCACTAGAGTGCAACCAGTCTAAACTAACCCCTCTGGAACATCACCAAGTGTTTCCATTCTTACTGCACTGAGCTGCTCGCTCAGTGTAAACATAGAATCATAGAATCATGGACTCATAGAATGGTTTGGGTTGGAAGGGACCTTAAAGATCATCTAGTTCCAACCCCCATGCCATGGGCAGGGACACCCCCCACTAGACCGGGTTGCCCAAAGCCCCATCCAGCCTGGTCTTCCAGGGAGGGAAGACTTCCAGGGAGTCTGGAACCAGACAACCTCTCTGGGCAACCTGTTCCAGTATC